GGTGGGGGGGGTGGTTGCGGAGGGGGTGTTTGGTGGGGGCGCTGGGGTGGAGAGTGAGGGGCGCTGGGAAGGCTGTGCTGGGCAAGCTTTGTTGTTCAAACAGGCGGGAGGATGAGAATCTCTGTGAATGAAGACTGGGGGTGGTACCCATCAAGGCCGTGGGCGGACTGCCTCAAACAGGGGAAAGTCACAGCTGCCAAAGGCGTGTCGGGGCTCAGCACGCGAGGCGCGGCGTGGCGCACACCAGGCCAGTCCCTGCCCCCCGGCCGCCCTCTCGCATTGGTCATATGTGCTGGCCGCCGCTGGCTCCGAAGGCTCTTGGGAGGCTCTCTCCAATAATCTCACCTTTTGCCTGCTTCTGAGTCCCTGAGGGGCAAAGATATAGTGCCTAGAGGGTTGGGCTTCACCACACGGTAGGCCTTACCACAGCCACGCGGCACTGGCGGTCGATTTCGAATGTGGATGCCTTGCCACACCGCATCTGCTGCATCGCTCCCCCAGGACCTGGCGCCGGCGCGCGCCGCGGCGGACGAGAAGCGGCGGAAAGAGGCCGAGGCGGAGGAGCGGGTCATGGGACCCGCGAGGAAGCTGGCGGCGGCGCTGGTGGCGAGGGGGTACCAGATCACCAGGCCGCAGGTCCGGCTGCGCCGGCCATGACCCCGCGGAGCCGCGCTGGGGGATGCCCAGTGTTATACAGCTGGCTGCTGCCGCTGCAAGGGATTCTGAGCAAGCTCGGCCTGGCAATGTTATCTGGGGTGCAGCAGCCGGCCCCTGTTGCTGCGCGTGGCCGCGTGCAATGCACTCTTCACCACCCGGACTCTTGATCTCCGCCAAGCGTCCCTCCTCACACCTCCCCCCCAAAGCCGGCACACAGGCACGCACGCACGCGCGCTTGTACACACACACACATACCAAATTCACTCACACACATACACACACACTCTTAGACACCCTCATCGTGCGCAACTCTCGAACCCTGCCGCACTGCAGGTGTCTGTCGGCAGCCGGCGGCCGTACGCTGACGAGGACGGCACAATACACTGGCCGGTGCGCACCAATTATATATGACATTGCCAAATGACAGGATTGTGATGGCAATCGCGTCCGCTTGGGCCGCTCCGCCGACGCAGGGCACGCGCCTGCGCTTTCGCGCTCCGCGCCGCAGCCCTCCCTCAAAGCTGCAGGCCGCGCCGCCAGGCAGGCCCGCTCGACGGCGCGGCCTGTGGCCGCCTCGCTGGGCGCCGCCCGAAAACATCAGGTGGAGGGCCAGGGTGCCGCCGTGCCGCCACCACCGCATCCCCCGCGGCTCCGGTCGCGTCCGCCCATGCAGCAGCATGCAGCACACTGACGACTGCACCCCCCGTTTTGCCAGCTGACAGCCTTGCACAAGCTGGTCCCCTTATTTTGTTGATTTGCCTACCGGCATCCGCGCCCTGCACCACCCAATGCTTGCCACCACCTGACCATCCAACTGACCGCCCAACGGACCCACCAACCGTCCGAGTGGCTGGCACAACCGACAACCGACGACGGACCCCCCGCGCGGCCAGGTGGTGCTGATGTACCCCGAGACGCTGCAGCAGGATGTGGTGGAGGACTGGCGGGACGATGACACCCTGGCGGACCATCTCGACGTGGTGGGTGACAGGGGTGGCTGCCCCGGACTATGCTGCGGACTGTGCTTCGGACTGTGCCCCGGACTGTACTCGGGACCCGGCTGCGGACTCTGCTGCGACTCTGCTGCGGACGCTGCTCTCAACTCTGCTGCAGACTCTGCTGCTGACTCTGTAGTCTGTCCTTGCTTCCAAAGTGCATGCTTCCAGCCGGCCCCTCACCCCTGGCGTGCGCCCGTCCCCCACATCTCACCCGACTCTCCTCGCCCCACAACAGATGTTCGGCGACGGCGCGCCACCGCTGCCCTGGGACGCCGCGGGGGAGTACAGCCGAGACAGGGTGGAGCTCTATTACTTGGCCAACGCGGGGCCCCCGCTGACGCCCGACCAGCTCGCGCTCGCGATGGCCGGAAGGTGGCCGGACGGTGTGGATAGGGACTCCGAGGGGCCGCGGCGCTATGGCGCGCGCGCGGCGCGGTGGGAGCGCGCCGAGGAGGGCGAGAGCCTGCGCGAGGTGCTGCTGCGGCCGGGGCACGTGGTCGCGGGCTCGCCGCTGTTTTGGGTGGTGGCGCGGGGCACTGAGTACCGGGAGCGGTTCCTGGCAAGCGTCCAGCAATGACCTGCGGTGTGGGCGGGCTGGTGCCGCTCGGCCGTGCCCGCGCGCGCGCGCGCGCGTGCGCGCGCGTCGAGCCGGCCCCGCGCCGCACTCGCCTCGCCGGTCTGCTCCCGCCCGAGCGCGGCGCAAAGGCCACGCGGCCGGCGCGCCGCGGGGGCGCCGGACTGCAGTGGGGCTCTGCAATCCCGCGCCAGGCAGCGGTCCGTGATTGGGCGGCGGGGCCTCTACCTGGCTGCCCATCCGATTGCAGCTTGGGGGTGTAACCAGCCCCACACCCGCCTCCTGCGGATCCGCAAACCCTGCTGCAATCGACAAGCTTTCCAGAGTCAAGTGTTGTATAGAACAAGCTTACACAACCATGTGTAAACCACTCAGCAGCGGGCAGGACAAGGCAGATACTTTGAGAAATTCTGTCGCCGCGCACATGCTGGCGGTTGGTGCACGCGTGCCGCATCGTTTCAGCGGCCCGTGGCGCAAGCCAGAGGGCGGAGGGTCGGCACAGTCGAAAGCTGAGGCGCGCGCTCCAATCAGCAGCATGCGTGTGCGCGCTGACCGGGTCAAACTGGCGCAGGGTGGTGGTTGGAGTCAGGTGTTCATGTTTAGTAAATGTACGCATGCGTTGATGCAGTGTGTTGCAGGGTCGCGTTCACATGCGTGCACAGCAGCAAGAATGACAACAGCACAGCGGCCGTCGCAGGCCGCCAGAGCGCATTGGGCGCTTGGACGTGGTGCTTCGCTTGCAGGAATTCCTTTATTTGGCCACACGCACGGCTGGGCACTCGTTCGCAACGAGCATGGTTGCGTGGCCGATCCGTGTCGTATGAAAATCATTATTGGGTAGGCATCAACAGGGAGGACTGCCGTGCTTGGTGCTGGCCAGTTGGTGTTGCTTTCTGCTGCCAGAGTCAGTGAGTGAGCGGCTTGCGCCGACTCTACAGCCTCAGACCAGCCACCTCACCGTCTGCGGCGGGCTCGCACCGCCTGCAGCTGCCGCGCAGGCGCACGCGTCAGTTTCAGGCTGGGGCGCGCCGGCCGCGGCCGTCACCGGCAGCACGCGCTTGACCCTTGATTCGAAGCAGCGGCCGCAGCAGCAGCGTAAGAAGAAGATTCCAGCCCCCATAAACAGCCCCACAACGCACAGCACGACGGCGACGGCCGTGACGGTCGCTCTTCTGTTCGTCTGTGGCGCATCAGTCGTGGGGCCGGCCTGCGCCGTGCCAGCAGTCGCAGCGTCGGCGGCGGCGCCCTGAACCCAGCAGCACACGACAGCTACGGCGGCTGCTGCTTGCAGCAGCGCGGCGCGGCGCGGCAGGGGCGGCATGGCCTGCAAAGTGGTGCGGGTGTCACGTGCCAGGGTTCGCCTTGATTTGGGTGCCTGCGCTCGCAGGTTTTCGCGCCGGGAAGCGTGGTGGTTGGCAGCTGCTTGTTTGCTTTCTGTAGCGCGCAGGGCAGGCGTGCGTAGCTGTGCGGCAGTGACCACGCCTTTGTGGCCTGCACATGGACTACCGTACAGCGCGGCTGCTCTCACTGTCTGCCGTCGGTGTGCAAGTGTTGATGACATGCCCCATCCGATCCCGCCGATTTAGTCCCAAGACCTACGCTTGATTTGAGTTGGCTTCAGTTTCAAGCGCGATCACGACGAGCCACCGGTGTTGCGTTCAAGCGCAAGCAGCAACACTGGGGCACCGGATGACAACGGATGGAAACGTTCAAACGTAGATAAATAAACGCGTTTTGTAATCTACCGTGAGCACTTGGAAGAATTCGTTGGATTTGCTGTGACAAGGCCACACCCGGTGTCCAGACCGTGCCAGCTTCAGCGGCGCAGCGGTCCTGTCCCACCCGGTCTCGCAAAGGAGCGGCACCCGCCCACTCGGCTGACGACTCACTCTCATAAGCCTTCCCTCCGCCTCTCCCCAGCAGACCAACACTCCTTCGCTGCTTGTGTGCACTGCACATGCCGCGCCGCTCCGGCATGGCGCGCTTTGCAGGTTGCGCGTCGGCCCCAATCTGCTGGCGGTTTTGGTGTGCTTTGCACGCGCCAGGCCGCGGTCGCGCTGGCGCGGCTGCTGCAGCTTGCCACGTGCCGTGCAGGGCCACTCTTAAGCTGCAACGCAGACGCTTGTAGCAACGTAACTTGCACACCAGGCTCCCCCAGCACAATCATGTTATCTTCCCCCTCACGGCCAAGCATAAGGATTCAAGCCGCCAGAGCTCAGCGGCCGCATGATGCACAAGGTTGCTCCAGACGCCAAGAAGCCGGTCAAAGCATCTGGCACAGGCGCTGTTTCGCTGGGGGCGGCTCCTGGCAAACGAACGCGCACGACCAGTGATCATGCAGCAGCTTTGTGGTGCGTTCCCCTGACATCACCGCAGGCCGTTCTTCGCTCGATCGCACAGCGCATCCAATGCTTTGAAAGGGCGCATCAGCGGCCGCCGCAGCACTATTGGCCACTCTGAACTTGGTGGCTGTGCCTGTGGACTCCTCTCCTTCATAACTCTGCCTTACAAACAGCTATAATCCAGCCCTTCGTTGCGCTTTGCTGAGCTGCACCACAAAACATCCAGCTTATCATCACCCCATCTGTGATCACCACGTGCGCGCATTTGCCAGCCCAGTCAGCAGCAGTTGAGGCAAGGACCATTACATGACTCATCTGTGGTGGATGCCAGGGGGGCGTGCGGGCCGCGTCATCCCAGCAGCGTGCTGTGGGTAAAAACACACATGAGAATCTGAAGCTTGATGGTGATTGAAGACCCATGTGTGGTGCATTTTGCGACTCACAGCACTTGTGGTCGTTTGTGCGACGCAGTCAGACAGATCCTTGAACGCGCGTGTGCGTGCCGCCTGTGGTGAGCTTCGATGCCAGAACCAAGAAGGGGCGCATTGGTGAACCCCGCGACGCGGCGGCACACGGCCGGCTGCGAGCTGGACTTGCAATCGATACATATTTCTCTCGCCGCAACCCGCGGGCAAGCGCATCCAAGGGCCGACTGAGCAGTCGGCTCCCGTTTGGCGCGTTGTTCGCGCCGCCGCTGGCATTCTTCAGTGTGGGCAATCATATCTTGGCAGTTCGGCCCGTTTGGCAGGACTATCAGGAAGGCAGTGCGAACTGTGGAACGATGGGGGAGGTGGCACACGGGGTGGTCGGTGCTCTCGCCCCTGCTGCGAAGTTATTGCCGCGATCCCCCTCAGCGGGGCTCGCGCCGGCACGGCGCCGCGCCCGTCAGACCAGCCAATTGGCCGGGGGCGGCCGCCGCCAGCTCGTCTCGGCCTCCGCCTCTGCCTCCGCCCCCGACTCCGCCTCGGGTTCGTCTGCAGATGCCGCATCTGCGGCCTGGGCGGGGGCTGCGTCCGGCTCCGGCACGGCGACCTTGGCCGTTACCGGCAGCACGGGCTTGGCCCTCCCCTCAAAGAATCGGCCGCAGCAGCAGCGGAAGAAGAGGACGCCGGCCGTCACCAAGACCGACACGACAGACAGCACGACCGCGACGGCCGTGACGGTGGCGGACTTGTTGCCCTGAGCTGGGGGCGCAGGGGCCGGGCTGCTCTGCGCCACGGGTGAAGCCGGCGGGCTGCTCTCCTGGGCTACTGGCACGGTCGGCGGGGTGCTCTGGGCTGAGGACGTGGCTGGGTCGCTCTGGGCCACACTTGCAGCCGGGGCCGGGGCCGTGGTTGCAGCCGGGGCCGCCGTTGCAGCCGGGGCCGCCGTTTCAGCCGGGGCCGCCGCTGCAGCCGGGGCCGCCGTTGCAGCCGGGGCCGCGGTTGCAGCCGCCGGGTTGCTGTCAGCGGGCGGCGCTGTGGTTGGGTTGCTGTCAGCAGGGGCCGCGGCGGCTTGGTTACTGTTCGCGGGGGCAGCCGCCGCTGAGTTGCCGTCGGCAGGGGCCGTGGTCACTGGGTTGCTGTTGGTGGGGGGCGCAGTCGTCGTCGGATTGCTGTCAGCAGGAGCCGGGGCCGTCGGATTGCTGTCCGTGGGGGCCGCACCCGCTGCGTTGCCGTCACCAGGCTGAGCAGAGGGTGTATCCCCCTGGGAGATGAATGAGAGTGGGTTGCCCTGGGCCTGGGGCGCATTGAAGTCCGTTGAGTCGAAAGAGAACCCTGGTATCGATGGAAAAGGCGCGTCGTCGCCGGCGGCAGGTTGGGCCAAACAGCTCACGGCCACCAGCGCGATTGCTGCCCACATCAGGGCTGTCCGGAACGGCGAGCGTGCCATGGTTGTCACTAGGGGGGCTGATGCGGCGAGTTGGTGCGGCGGGCTGAGTCGCTCGCCTGTGGTGCGAAGGGTGGGCACGAGGGGAGAGTGATTGTTTTCACCCACATGCCCTTGTTCGCCCGTCCGTACCGCCCTTAACCTCACGGTAAACTATTTTGCAAAGCCAGGACGGGCCTGCCACCACACCCACTTGGCACTGCAGGATGCAAGAACAAAGACCTGTCCACCGTTCCCCCTCCCCCCACAAACGCCCCCCTCCCACCCAGCAAGCACCGCTTGCATTTAATACATTCATTCACTTGCGCTACCCACAGTGGTCTGTGGCACAAGCGAGTGCGAAGCCCGTTCAACTTGGTGAATTTGTACGCGAGCCGCGACAACGAATGCGCGACAACGGATACGGATGTTTGCTGCTGATGGTCCTCAGTAGACAGTGGTCCAGCTTTATGATATCACTTGCTAGCACGCTTCGAATAAAGCCCCTTTCGGCTTCGGTGCACATGCTGACCAGACCATGGCAGCTTCAGCGCAGCAGTCCCTCCTGGTGAGGTGCTGCCCGGCCCCGTCAGAATGGCATGCCCATGAGCCCAAATGCTGGAACACCATTCAAAGGTAGTCGAGGTATACTTCTATTCAAAGCCTTGCCGTCCCCACACCTTGGCTGCGAAATCAAACGGAGATGGATACAAGCACGGCCCACCTCATGCCTGGGTCCTAGTGCCCCCACACTGGCAGGGGGGGCAGCTGGCAGGGGTGGTGCGCCATCCACTCACCCGAGTCTGGTGACGACTGCACTCGCACCGCAGCTGCAGCTCGACCTGCTTTGTCCTGTACCATACTGCATCCACTGATGCAAATCATGTGTATCGATGAGTTTGTGCTTGCACGGCCGGAGGTTTGTTGTATTTCTAGTACAGTACATATACAACACACATGCCAAGGGAATGCAGAGATAACATCACCCCAGCGGCTGCATTCACATGCTGCGGTAGATGGGGATCCGTCCTTTCTAGTCAGACTAACCTGCATGCTGTGTCATCATCGCACCCCAGGCCAGTGCTGTCAACCTTTCCTGGCCTGGCCCCTCCGTGTGTTCCCACCTTCGTGCACTCCTGCTTTGAATGGCGCACGGTAGCCACCTGAAACTCAGTCACACAACGTTGGTGCCTCACTGTACAATCCCATGAGCCTGGATGGCTCCAGGAGCGGGCGACCGCGGGACGCTGTAACAATCCTACTGTAATCCTTATCCCCACCTCATGTGCTGCACTGAATGCTGCACAACGCATGCGACTCTCATTTCCGTAGGGAAAGGAGCGAAACACCCAATGTACACATCGCTCATTGCCACTCTTGTTGTCTTGGTCCCTGTGGTGTTGGCCAGCAACTCCTGGCGTCGCCCAGTGATGATCGAGGCGCCTCAGCGTGCTCGCACGTGACCAGGAATTGGACAGCCCGGACCTGGTGATTAAGTAATGCCGCAGAATAAACATCACGCAGCAAGGTGTGTTGCGCTCCTGTCCCGGCCCAACGAGGCGCTGTGGGGGTTGCGGCACCCGCTGGGTGCCTGTTGACGTGGCACTCAATCGTCATATAGTACGGCATCCTGTCTTTCCACCACGTTACAGAGCATTGATACCATTAGATTACTGGTAGCAACATGTATGCGCACGCTTAAAGCGGCGATGGTGGCGATTCGATGGTCCAGCTATTGATCTGGTTGCTTTTTGGCGGCGTTCGCCATTCCATTGTGTATAATCGTCTATGATGATTATATCCCTGCATTTGGCGGCGCTGGAGCTTCTTGGCAGACGCTTAGCCACGGCCGCAGCCATATCAGCGCAACGAGTTTTCTGCAGTGCGGCTGGCGCAGCAGCGGCGCAACCCGCGGCGGCGCCGACGGAGCCTAGCTTGGCGGCAGACACGCCCCAGCGCACTTTTTTTGGCGTCCCCGCCAATGACGAGCTGCACAAAGAGCTGTGGTCGGCTGCGCGGTCGGATGACGTGGCCGCCGCCTTGCAAGGCGGCCGCGCCAGCGGGCGCTGGGACGACGGCGCCACCCTCGCAGCGTTGAGGCAGCTGGTGTGGATTCACAAGAACAACAGCAGACAACAGCGGCACCAGCAGCAGCAGCAGCAGCAGCAGCAGCAGCATCAGCATCAGCAGCATCAGCAGCAGCAGCAGCATCAGCAGCAGCAGCAGGAGCCGCAGCAGCAGCAGGAGCAGCAGCAGGCGCCTGCCGCCGCTCTCGCCGCCGCGCCCGCCGCCGAGGACCCCGCCGCTGCGGCTGCTGCCGAGGACCCCGCCGCTGCGGCCCTCGTAATCTCGGAGCTCTGCCGGGTCGTCGCAGAGCGCATGGACTGCCTTTCAGACGACGCTCTAGGCCTGGCCCTGATAGCCCTCTCCAAGCTGCCCTTGGACGGCGCCCCGGCGGAAGACCTGCGCGCCGCCGTCGCGCGGCGCCTTGAGCAGGTGCCCCCCAGGTGAGGGGCGGGGGCTCTCGGTGCTCTCCTGCGCGCGAAGGGCGAACCTGCTGCCATGCGATGCCCGCCGCGCCGCGCCGCCGGGGCTGCCGGCGGCTCTGACCCTCATCAAGGTGCCCCCGTCCCGTCGATTGTTTCGCCAGCTGAGTGCCAGGGGTGCAACCCCAACGCCAAGCCGGTTTGCCCGAATCAGCCTAATGCTCGTCACCCTCCTGACCGCCGCCCCCACACCTCACCGCCCCGCCCCGCCTCACCCCCGCTCTGCACGCGCCCGGACGCCCGGCCCCGCAACTGCAGCCCGTCGCACGGCTTCCTGGCGCGATCCCTGATCGTCATGGCCGACAGCCGGGAGGCCTGGGCGCCGCTCGCGCAGGCGCACGTGCCCGTGCTCATTGCCGCATACGCGCGCAGCCTGCCTCAGGGCGCGTTCGTCTCCGACAGCGTCTGGCTGCTGCACTCGGCCGCGAGATTCAAGGGCCGCTGGCTGTGCGACGAGCGGCCGCACGTGCTGCCGTGCCTCTCAGCCGCGCTCGCCTCAAAGCTGGAGGAATTCGTCGCGCGCCACGGCGCTGCCGCCGCCGCCGCCGCCGCCGCCGGCATGCCGGCTGAGGTGGCCGCGACCGACGTGTCCGCGGCGGCGTCGGCGCTGGTGCAGCTGCAGCATTACGACGGCCGCGCGCTGAGCGCGCTCTCGCGGGCCTCCGCCGCGCTGCTCGGCTCCGACGACGCGCGCCGGCGCGAGCGCCGCACCCGCGGGGCCCTGCCCATGCCGCCCGGCGCGCGCGGCGCCGGCGAGCCCGCCGCGGGCAGCGGTGAGGCGTACGCGGCCGGGTTGGGGCCGCGTGGGGGGGCGGAGGGTGCTATGGCGTCGGTGCTGTTGCCCCGGTGGATGGCGATTTCGCATTTGGCGCCCGTGTGCTTCTTGCTGGCCAAGATGGACCACCCCGCCCCTGAATTGTTTGAGGCCATGGCGGCGCACCTTCGGGAGAACGTGGAATTTGGAGGGCCGGCGGGCGGCGGCGGCATCAGTGATGGCAGCAGCGACGGCAGCGGCGGCGGCGGCGGCGACGGCGACGGCGAGCGCGGCAGCGGCAGCGGCAGCGGCGGCGGCGGCGGCAGCGGCAGCGTGGCGTTGTCCATTTACGGCCGCCCGGTGCGCCCCTCAGACGTGCGAGATTTCATTCTCGTGGCCTGGTCCTTCGCCGTGCTGCAACCCGAGCGGCTGGAGGCGGCGCGCGCCGCCGTGGCCGTGCTGGAGGCGTTCGATCCGCACGACGCGGCGCTGAGGGCCCTGCCGAGTCACGCGCGAGTAGACCAACGCGGCCTGCGGCAGCTTATGCAGGCGCGTGCTTCAGCGCGCGCGCGGCGCGCGCGAGGCAGCTGGTGCATGCGCGGTTTTGGGCGAAAGAGGGGGGGGGGCGCCGGTGCGCGGCAGGGGCGGCGGGGCGGTGCCGCAGGGATTCTGCAGACGGGCAGATGGTGACCATCTCTCGCGCCTCACCGCGGCTGTGCACATCCTTGCACGACGCCGTTGGGGCCGCGGCCTCGGACCCCGCCCCCCCAGCTTCCAACGGCCACCCCGCCGACGATACACCGGAAACTGCAGGTGCATTGGATGGCGGCCCTCGGCGCGGCGGCCACCGGCCAGCCCGCGCCGGTCCTCCCGCCGCACTGGCTCGAGGCGTGCGAAGAGGCGTGGGAGAAGTCCTTGGAGGAGTGCGACGGCGGCCACGGGTCGCAGTCCCAGCGGGCCATCGCGGCGCTGCTGCGGCGCGGGGGCTGGCGGCCGCGGCTGCAGCAGCGGACGCCGGACGGGCGGTGCACCGTGGACATAGTGGTGCGCGCGAGCGCTTGACGGCGCCGAGGAAGGGAGGGCGCGCGAGCGCGAGCACGTGCGTGCATCAACGTTAGCAGCAGCCGTGCCCCCCCCCCCCTCCAGCTGTAGCTTCCTGTCAGTCTAGCAACAGACGAGGCCGCTGCCCGGCCGCGGTGCCGGCTGGAAGGGGCCGAGGGCGCTACGAGCCCGCGTGGTTGATCCTCTGCTTTTGCTCTTCTTCAAGGCAGGGCCGCGGACCGCCCGCGGCCAGGCCCGCGCAAGGCGGCCACACACTTCCACCGCCACGGCCTCAACCCATGGAATGGGCGCCCGCAGGTGGAGCACGCTGGCCTAAACGTGGCCATCGAGTTTGACGGCCCCAGCCACTTTGCATATGCGCCGCGCTCAGAGGCCGGCAACGCGGGCACGCTGTTTGCGGAGACGCCGCGGCGCCACCACGGGGACGCGCGCGTGCGCGAGGCGCTGGTGCGGGCGAACCCTGGTTGGGTGGTCATGGTCGTGCCCTTCTTTGACTGGTGAGTCGGCCCTTGGGGCAGGAGGAGGGGGGTTTGTGCTGAGGGGCGGTGGGGGCCGGCAGGAGGGGTCCACGCGGGCGGTGCAAGGGTGCAGAGGGCGCTGCGCAGCCGCCGCGGGCGCGCGGGCCTCACATGGCGCGGCACGGCGCGGCGCAGCGCGGCACGTATACCAGCGGTGTGGATTTCGGGCGCGCAGGGGCCTGTTGGACGCTGCCGAGACATTATTGCCTTGGTCCTGTGACCAGCGACGCACCCACATGTCGCACATGCGCTCAGCGCAGATGCACTCATATGCAGCGACGCAAGCGGCCCTGCATCCCCTTGTCATCCCCGAACCTCCCCCCACGCAAACCTGCTCACGCGCACGCACACACGCACACACCGTACGTGCTGCCAGCATCATTCGCCTCCCAACACGCGCGCCTCCCGCGCGGCAGGCGCCCTTTCAGTCGATACCCGGAAGAGCACCGCAACCACATGGCCTACTTCCGGGACCGCATGGCCAGCTTGACGGCGCAGCTTGGGGCCGCTGAGAACGCGGCGCCAGCTGGCGGCCGGGAGCCGTCTCCGAGGCCTGGGCGCCTCGGCCCAAACTGCGAGCCGAGGTGGTGGTGCCCGCGGGAGCAGGCGTGGCTTGCGGCGGGCGGCAAGTGGCTGTGGAGTTGGGAGGAGGCGCGCAGCGAGGGGGGCGGCAAGGAGCACGTGCCGCTCGGCGAGACGGAGTGGCGGGAGCGGCTGGCGCAGTGGCGGGAGCTGGCGCTGCAGCAGGCGGCGTGGCGGGGGCAGGTGGAGCGGTTGGTTGGGCCGGTGCAGCCGTGGGCGCACAGAGGCATGGCCGAAGCGGCCGTGCGGCCGCCGCGGCGCCGACATCGCGTGTCGGACACGCCTGCCTGGCGGATGCAGATGTCGAGAGGTCAGTTGTAAAGCTGCGCCGTTGAAAGCGAGTGGGCCCTGCGCCCTGCCGCGGGCGCTCGCTCTGGCACCCAATTGCTGTTCAAATGATCAGCACGACACCCGTGTTGACGTCATCGACTTCAAAATTTCTGTGGGCTTTGAGACGGCGCTCGTCAGTTGGCTACTTGCATATCTTTTAATGCTGCCGTATCGTCTGGCTTGCACAACACGCACTTGAGCCGGCAGAACAGCGCAGCCTTGCCGCAGTGCGCTGATGAGGACGGCTGTTCATGCATCGGTGTGATGACGACACCTGAGGGAAGGCGGTGATCGCGGTCCTTCCCATGCCGAGACAACTTCGTTCGTCTTTTCTATCATACAGATTGTAGGCGCCTCGCCACTCAGCATGCCGGGTTCCTGTCACGTCAAACCCGACCTGAACACGCTTCTGCGTTTCGGCGACATTATTACTGAATTATCATGAAGGAATCATATGCATACTCTTTTACTCAGGTCGCAGCGTTCACAAGATCACGCGCTAATTACGAGCTTCGTACAGTATGGTCCTGCTGCGCGTAGCTATAGAGCATATGTTTTGAGAGGCTGATGCGACATCGTATGTTCAGACCCCCTGCATTGGGAAACATCCGTCCAGGCGCGGTGCGCGGCGACGACGGCGCCACGCGAGTCGAGGCGGTCCCTAGTTGTGGCTGTGTTGGCCATGCACCGCTGACACAGCCGTGCAGCAGCACAAACAGATTGTGCTCTGGCAGTTCGTCCGGAGAGTCTCCACATATACGACTGTAGCAATGTTTTGCAGTGGGGTGACGGGTGACGTGTCGCGCCCATGCAATCCGCTGCCTCGGGCGCCCTAACCGCCCGACCCCCATGCACCCTGACACCTGCATCACGTGCCTTGTCACAGGCTTCTACCTCGCAGCCCTCGCAGCGGCTGTGTATCCCACCCACGCAAGCGTGCCGCACGACGGCCCGTGCATCTCCTGAGCACCCTGCTGCTGGGAAACATCCCTAGGGCGTCCCCTTTGTATTTTTCTCGGCGGCGCCACCGCGGCCCGGCTGCGCTGGCGCTGCGCCGGCCCACGGCGGCGCCATGCCAAGCCACCTGGTGGCATGCTGTGTGGCGGCCGCCCCCTCTCCATGTGCGTGGCGCCACCCCTGCCTGCTCCTCGTCGCGCAGCTGCTCCTGCAGCAGCTGCTACGCTGCGCCCGCGCGCTCCGCGCGCAGCTGCCCCGCGCGGCGGCCGCCGCCGCGGCGAGCGCGCTGCGGCGGCTTGCAGGCCCGCGCGGCGCACGGCGGCGCGGGGGCGGCAGCTGCGGGTGTGCGGGCGTCGGCGCGCCGGCGGTGACACTGGCCAGATCCGTTGAGGCAAGGGCTGAGCTGCCTGTGGTGGTCTTGCAGGTGCGGCTGCGCTCTAGGCGCCCTGAAACTTTACCTACACACCCCCCCCCCCGCCACAGCAGCGCCTGACATGCACTGCTGCGCGGGTTCCCGACGTCCACGCCACAAAAAAATTGGCTCTCCAGAACTGCCACGCCCCTCGACGCCCGCCCGCCCTGCCGCAGCGCCTTGGCTTGTGGCTGGCGCCCCAAGACATGGCCTCCGCCCGCCTCGCGTGCCGCGCGTGGCGCGACTGCTTGGGCGCCCAGGTCTCCGCCGCGCAGCTGCCGCCGGCGCTGTGGCAGCGGCCGGCGGAAGGGGGCTTCCAGCTGGCGCGGCTGGGGGCGCTGACCGCCGCCTTCCCCGCGCTGTCGGCGCTTGAGCTGTCCTACGACCGCGCCGCGCCCGTCGACGCGCGCGCCGCGCGGCGCGCGGCGGCGCTGCTCGCGCGCGCGGCGCCCTCCCTGCGGCGCCTGCGGCTCAGCGGGGTCGCGGAGCCCGCGCATCTGGCCGCGATCGCCGAGGGGCTGCAGCCGCTGGCGGGCCGGCTGACAGCCTTGGACGTTTTAGATGCGTGCTGGCTGGACGTGGCCGCGCTGTCGTCCCTCGCGGCTTCGCTCGGGGGCCTGCGGCGGCTGCGGCTGCACAGCTCCGTGTTTAGTCGGCTGACGGCGGCTCATGTTGACGTCATCGCGGGGATGACTCAGCTGCGGGAGTTGTCGATGGTGGGTGTTATGTGAGCACGCGTGAGTGCGTGCGTGCGTGCGTGCGTGCTCACGCACTGACAAGCGTGCACATGAACGTGTGGTGAAGCATGTGTGCGCACGCTGTGTCTGAGCGTGTACGCATGTGCATGTTTGAGAGCAGGAGTGCTTTTGTGCACACAAGATTGAGCGGCGTGTGCTGGTGTCGATGTGTGTGTGCGGAGCAGTCGGGGCTTGACCGGCGCGAGCAGGCGCTGTGCCGAACTGTGCTGGCCCCACTCGACATCCTGCACGCCTGGGGCATTTCACGCGCCATGCTCGAGCGAGGCGCCTCGCCGCCGCTCGCCTTGCGGCGGCCCCTCGCCGCCTCTTTTGCACTGCCCGCCAGCAGCGCCTCTCCAATGCCCACGGCGCGCCGCGGGCGGCTGCCGCCGCGCTCCCCCGCCGCCCCCAGTTTCAAAGTTGTGCTTGATCCCTCACCCGACCCTGGATTTGCCCTTTCACCTTCTGCCCGGTGGCTGCAGGGCTTCCGCGCGGTGCAGGGCAGCGCCTCGGACCCCTTGGCGCTGGATGCGCTCACTCGGCTGACCGGTCTGACGTCACTGGACCTGGAGTTCACGGGTGAGGCGGCTGCCTGGGCGGTTACGTGGGGTGCGGTTGGGTGGGGCGAGGTGGCTGGGGGGTCAGGATGGCTGAGGTTGTGTGGGGGGGCCTCGAGCGACTCCCGAGTCTTGGGCCCGGGCTCGCTCCTGTCATTCGAATGCCCGGGGCCTGCGTTTCCATCCATCATCAGAGGACCCGCAGCCACATAGCCGCTCAGGCTTGGGTCATAACGCCGCGGGAAGCACCAGGCCACCCGCCCTTGCGAGGGGCCCGGCCCGGCCGGCGGCCTTAGGGGCAGCCCCGCCCCTCCCGCGCCGCACCTCGCCACCCTCCTGCCGCGCCGATTGCAGTCCACACCCGTGGACGCACCTTCTCCACCCCCCCCTCTCCCCCACCATCGCCAGGCATACACCAGCTGTCCAGCGGCGCCGGCTTCCGCCGCCCTGAGGGCCTCTCGAGCCTCTCCGCCCTGGCCGCCCTCAGCCTACGCCTCGTGCCCCTGCGCAGCGCCGACGCCCTCCCGCTGCTGCCCGCGCTGCGCGCGCTCCGCCTGGCGGCGCCCGAGCCGCTGCCCGCCGCCGCCGCGGCCGCGCTCGCGCGCTGCACAGGGCTGCGGCGGCTGGTGATTGAGCAGCTGCTGCCGGAGCAGCTGCCCGCGCTCGGCGCGCTGACCGGGCTCAGCGCGCTCAGCGTGCACCTCGCGCCGCCGCCGCCGCGCCGCAGCCGCGGCGCTGCGGGCTCGGGCGCGGGCGAGGGGGCGGCCGCGGATGCGGTGCTGGCGCTGGCGCCGCTGTCAGGTCTGAGGGCGTTCAGCGTTGCGGGACGCGTCGAGCTGCGGGCCAGCCACATTGAGGCGCTCGCAGCGGCGTGGCCGGCCCTGCGGGCGCTCGACCTCCGGTGCTCTCTGCCCGACGGCAGCCGCGGCCTGCGCGCTCTGACGTCGCTCGAACGGCTGCGGCTGGGGCCGTACGGGTGGGCGTCCCCAGGCGGGTGGGCGCCGGAGGTGCAGCTGCAACCGGGGGAGCTGCCGCGGGGGCTGACGCGGCTCGAAGCGTCGGGCGTGCTGGTGGCGGCGCAGGGCGCGGACGCGGCGTGGGACAGGGCGTGTTGGGGCGACGAGCCGGGCAGCTGGGGGGGCGTCTGCCCGGCCGGTGGCAGGGTTGCTGGTGCGGCAGAGGCGGGCGCCGCAGGCGGGTGTCGCTGCGGCGGCGCCGCGAGCGTCGCCGGCTGCTTCTGCGGCGCCGCGGCCGCCGCGCCGCCGCCGCCCGCGCCACCGCTCGCGCCCGTGCATCGCGTTGCCCCGCTGGCGCTGTCCGCGCCGCGGCTCCGCGTCCTCTTGCTCCGCGGCTGCGGCGCCGCTTACAGCGGCTTATGGCCCGGAGGATGCAGTTTCAATTGCGATGATGCTGCTGACGTGGCGCCTCCAGTTTTGCCAAGTCTGTCCCGGCTGACCTGCCTCGAGGAGCTGCACCTCGAGCACCCCCAGATCACGGAGCGCGATCTGCACGCGATAACCTCGTGCGGCGCCGTCGCGGGCTCGCTGCGGGCGCTGCGGCTTGTGGTCGCCGGCGACGGCGCGTGGCTGGGGGGAGGGGTGGCTGCGCTGACCCGGCTGATGGCGCTCGAGTGCCTGCAGGTGGGTGTGGATAGATCTGTGGCGGATGAGGGCTGTTTGTGTAGTGAGTATGTATCACATCTGGTTGCTAGCTGGGTTTTGGGGACCCATGCATGTCGTTGCTAGCTGCTGCCCCGGGACGCGTGAATTTTTTTTGAGGTGAGCGCTTGGGCTGCCAGCTGCAATGGTGGGAAGCTCTCTGTACGCGCGCCACTCTGGTCAAGGGGACGCGTCATCT